TTAGGGTTTAGGGCCCCTCAACCCACAGGAAGCTGGAAGCTAATTGAGCCATGTACTCGTGTGACAGCGGGGCAGACGGACACCAAGATAAGCCAAAGTCAACAAAAAGGAAGGAATAGTCCTGACACTATCTTGCAGCACTCCTTTAAATGGAATCAGGCAAGAGAAACAAACCGATACCAAAGCTCAACAAACCCTTGACCCAAACCTCACTGTAATCCCTAAACCCGAAAACGCATCAGCCAGGTCGCCAAGTGAAAAGCATTCCTCAGCTTCTCTGCTTATCCATTAAAGCTTCTTGCAGGCACCTCCCCCCCCCCCCCGCAGCTGAAGCCCAACAAGCCCAAACAGAAACGAAGCCGTACTATACGGGCCTGCATAACTTTAATAAGTTTTGCGCTCCTTGACAATATAAATACACATAAATACATTATTGGAACCCTAAGGAATAATATTGGCAGCTATTCAGGTTTCTACAGTACCATCATTTCTGAAGCCTGTGACTCTGTGCGTTGCCAACTGAAAGCAGAAGTCTTGCACTATTGAGAGATGCCCAGTAGCCGACCGCGTTCGTCAGTCAGCTCCGCATTAGCGCTATACTGCAGAAGGCAGCGCACGACTGAGGCATGGCCGTACCTAGGCAGGCTTACTTGTATGTTTCAGGGTTTGGGGGAATTTCGTTTTAAAGTTTGGGGTTTAAGGGAGTTCAGGGATGTGTGGACTGTTTGGGTGCCCTACAATCGTAATCCTTCGAAACACAAGCCCCAAAACCCTACGGACGAAATTCAGGACCTGGGCGCAAGCAGGCCGAGGCAAGAGCGATGTTGCCGGCACCTGGCCACACAAGCGCACATGTGATCGTGGTCCTGGGCTTAAGGGTTCAGGGTTCAGGCTTGTTTTGGCATGATGGAGTGCAGCATAATGAGGACATAGGATATTGCGTTGCGAGCCGGTGTTGGTCGCACGGCTGTGTCTCGAAATCATGGGACACGAAATCCTTGAAAGTACGGCTTTACACGAAACTCCTAAAACAAAAACCCAGCCCTAAGTCCACCAAAGCTCTACAGAACCCCCTAAACCCTAAACCNNCCCCCCCCCCCCCCCCCCGAAAAACTCCAAAGATCCAAAGCCCTCGAAGACCCTAGTCGCCAGCTCACGTTGCAGCGCTCGCAGGAGCGAGCCTTCAGTGCCACGGAGATCTGCTCCTCCCTCCAGGAGCATGGAACAAACCTGGGTATGGGGCCCATAGGGCCCCCATAGGGCCTATAGGGTTTAGGGCTAGTAGGGTTTATTTTTCCGGGCTTATAGGGTTTGTAAATCTCAAGATTGAGGGCTTCGGGGCTGGTATTTAGGGTTTAAGGCTACTGTAGGGGTAGCTGCAAGAGTTCCAGCAAGCGCTTGGGGCTTGGGTGTCGAAGGTGGTAGAATCCGAAGCCCGGAAAGTCGTTATATACATACAACCCCCAAAACGGCCCAAAACCAACCCTGTACACCCTGAGCCCTTAACCTTTTTTGGCGAACCCCCCAACCTCGGCGCAGCCGCACCTCGCCGCCACCATCAAAGCCAGGGCGAGGTCTCTCGGAACCTGGCCCACGGGTTTAGGGGTTTAGGGGTTTAGGGGTTTAGGGTTTAGGGTTAGTTTGGACATAGTTTGGACATTTTAAGGGTTAGGCTTTGCCTTATTTGGTTAAGGGTTTAGGGCTTGCGTGGTTACCGAATATAGCGTAGATCTTGTGTTTAGGGCTTAGAGGGTTTATAGGGGCTTGTGAATGCTTTTGGGTTTTTAGAGTCACTCTAGTAAGGGTTATTATTGTTAATGGTTTTGGGTTTTCACAGTCACTCTAGTAAGGGTTACTAAAAGGGATCTGTAACTGCCAGATCTCTTGTTTTGGGTTTGAGTTTCGGCTCTCACACTCGGACAAAGCAGATTTGAGGCTTGCAGTTTCGGGTCTAGTGTTGTGTTGCTGAGTGTTTTTAAGGTGTTTAGAGGTACTCTAGTAAGGGTTACCCTAGGATTCTATAAGGGGTCTCTATAGCCGGTTATGTTTGGGGGTGCAGAAGAGCTTTCGCGTCTCCATGATGATCCACTGAACTCGGCTTACCCACTGCATTGGGGGTGTCACGTTTAAGTGTTAGATCGTGTTAGCAGTTCAGGATTTAGCTCGCCAGGGTTTAGGGCGTGAGTACATAGGCTTCAGGGTGAATCGGCTCACGCTCTCACAACTCGGACTTGCCAGATGAGGTCTCTCGATAGGTTCAGGGCCGTTACTCTAGGAGGCTTTGGAACCTAGGGCTGTCTTATGTGACAGACAACAAGCGAAGGAAGGAACCTATGATTGAGAACACCCTGGTCAAAAGATCACAAGCATGAAATTCCTAGATTCGCGTGACAATATGAGCCCCAACAAGCACCTAAACATGAACCATTGAGGATCATTTCCCTGCAATTGTGGGTAGGCTTCAATATGCTAATGTGCTTCTAGCTCTCCGTCAACCAAACGCTTGAGAATCCTGTATAAGATAGCTCACATCAGCCAATCACCCCGACGCTGCACCCCAAAGCCTGAGTTTCTCCCACTGCAAGTCTTCAGCTCTCAACCCTGGACCCTGAACCCTACACCACTAAACCCTAAACCCTAAACCCTTAAACCCCTCTCAACCCAGGCCCTGGACCCTGAATTCAACATCTCAATCCCGCGCCTGGCGGGTGTGGCGCAGAAGGGTTTGTACACGCCCAGCATCACCTCGAGGCAGCAAAGAAAGCACCAAAACCATGGACACCCGGCGTTCCCAGCGCCCCTCCCAAGCCTTCTGCTGCAGCCAGAAACAAGGGTCCAGGAAGCACCGCTGGAGCTGCAACCTACGAAAATGCACTGTGACTCCTGGGCTTCCTTTGGCCCTCTCTGAGAAGTGACTCTGATAAAACGTAGCAGACTCGGAGCTTCGTGGATATGCTCTGAAGGGGCCGTAAACGAGAGCAACCAACCGAAATTCTTCGAGAACGCGGCTTGCAGCCCTTCAGGCTTTCTCGAAATCTTGCGTCCTATTCCAAACTGAATGCCCGTGGACGGGCGACACATCTAGGGTTCTTTTGCGCAGCATCAATGAAGCACGGCAAGAGCTGCTAAAATGAGAGCTGCGCTGGTCTCCATGTATGACTCCCACCCGGATCGAAGCTTACATGCCATACTCTTCGAGTGCCAGCGAGAATATGGAATGCTCTGACCTGTTGCCTCAGCTGATGGAATCTGGCACGTATTTCTGCCTCACATATGCAAACTTGTGAAAAATCTGCTCGGCAGTGTCCTTGTCACTGGCGCTGGAGCACGGGGCCAGCTGCTGGCACCCTGGCCACCCATGTTGCGGATAGTCTACCGACTTCCAAGCCTATCTGCATCGT